TAGAGTCCCCAGTTAGTGCGAATAAATACTCTTCATAGATTGCCTATGCGATGTACCTGCCTTTTTTTCCTCTAATTTCGCAGATTCTTAACAACTCCATTTTCTCAAAATAACAAGTCGTCATTGATTAATAAGACTGTTTATGGCGATTTAACATTGTTTTTGAAGCTGTTGCAAAGTCATTGTTCTCAGGAAATGCTTTTCTAATAATCAAGGCTTTTGACTCTCTCCAGATGTAGTAGTTTGACAGACTATGATACCAACTTTTGGCCATACCTGTCAAACGCGCCTGCATGTGATAAGTCGTTGTTACGTCATTCCATATATTGATTTGTTTCAATTATTCAATTTTACTTATTACCTGGCGAGAATTCAGAAATACAGTCACTTTTTACAACAAGCTTCATTCCACTTTGACGATTCAATCCGGCATTTTCCTGTACGGCTTGTCAATCACTTGCTCTAGTCTTATTATTTTGCCATTTGGAGAATCTACTGGTGTGAATGATCTTTTATCAGACTGATATTTGCCAGTTTTTTCTTTCTATACCTTGCATCATCCGATGAGGAACTCGAAGTAGAGCTACTGGCACACAAGGGATGCAAAACAACTTATGTTTGCAACCAGTGGCGCACCCAGAATTTTTTTTCCGGGGGGGGGCTGGGGCTGGACTGGAAAATATGTCGCAAGCGAAAATTTTAAGTGATAGATGTAGATATCACACTCGTTATTTTGAGAAGACATTATAAGAAAGACATTTAATCAACTTGTTTCTTTGTTACATATTCAAATCTTGGTTTTAAAAAAAAGCATATTGACGTCTTATGACGAAACCTTATAAGTTATAGGGGATAAAAGGACACGCCCAAAACTTGAATAATAATTCTACAGAAATAAAACCCGAAAGCATTCCTTTATTTTCAAGGAATTGAAACATATACAAAATAATAATATGAGTAAAATAAAAAAATGAGCGAGTCTGCTCGTAGGTACCGAGAACATCTCGTTCGGTGATATTAATAATACTAGAGGCGGGTATTATAAACTATTTTGACAAATAACTAAAAGCTTACTTCTGGAATGACTCGAGAATGAGATGTGACGTCATTCCAGAAGTTAACTTTCAGTTAACTATAATACCCGCCCTAACTGGCAGCTCCAATCCTGGTGGATTAATTCACTACAGAAATTTACAGCGATCTACTATATCGACATGAATATCTAATGCTACTTCAGGCCGCAAGCGAGGAAGTATCTGCGAACTAATCACTGCGCATGTCACATCCGCTTTCACACTTCTGTCCCCATTTCCCAAGATTACCCTCATTCCGCCGACAAAGTGTTTACGCATCAATAATAGAATATTATAATAAGCATGCTTTGGTAATTTCACCACAAACAAATTTAAAAGGACGAGCCCTAGTACTACTGGGTGTTTGTTTATAACTGGGACACTCAGTAACTTTTTTATTATTGAAAATAAAGGGCATGTTTGGGTTGGTTTAGTTTCAATGGAACGGTATATTTGTTTTGTTATCCAAATAGTGTTTGATATTTTTGTGAAGCTTATTTTCGAAAAATTTTAAAAATGCAAAAATATACAGGGCGATCCATTGAAAAAAATTACTTTTTTGGTTTATTTAAATAAAACATGAAAATTTACTGGAAATATTTGAAATACTTTTTTTGTCACATTAGCTCAGGGGGGGCTGCAGGCGCTGCAGCCCGGCAGCCCCCCCCCCTCGGTGCGCCACTGTTTGCAACGTAACTTTCACGTTAGTTCCAAAAAAACACCTCAGAAACTCGTGGATTACACCTCACACCTGAACTGTAAGCTATTTCCTTTAGGCGCACAAATATTTAAGACTCGATTCCATTTAAATAAATTATATTTGCCACAAAGAGAAATAATATCGCTATTCCCAACTCGACTGATCACCACCAGCAGAACATCAGGACTGACTCATCCTTTTCTTGCTGATCACACCCAACCCTGTTATATAGCTTCGTCATCCGTCATTTTTTGTTAGGTAGGTGCAAGTAAATATTCTTTACACTACATTCGAAAATTTCAGAGTCTTCTATCTCTTGTTTTCTTCCATATTACTTAATCTAAATGCTAACCTGATAACAAAACATGATATTTTGTGCCAACATTCGAAAGTAGAATCCAGTTTTGGTATGGATCTAAGCGTCCATTAGCTATTTGTAGTCTAACTGATGCCCCGGTTAAATCGTCATCTTTGTTCGGGAATTTATTTGAAGATTGTGTCCCTATCATCAATAAATCTAGAAGACATTCTCCAGCATTCAGAAATATCCAGACCAAGCAGAATCAGAAGTTATCATTGCAGAAAGTAACTCCATGGGGACCACAGGTATTGAAAACTGAAAACGACAAAAATAAAATTGATAGGTTTACTCATTTAGCCATAGTACGTCCCTAGTATTGAATGTATCGGGATTTATCGAAAATAGAACGATGAAACCTGATCTAGATAATCTGAAACTATGGGGAAGGCGTCCATCATCAATAATTAGGTAATGAATGTAATAAAAAATCATATAAACATACGTAGTATGTACAAAAACTTCGATAGTATGTTGATTTTTCTCGAATCAATTGGAAGGTCTCTGGACCTCATTGTCTTATCAGAAACGCATGTAATTAGTAACATCTCTGACTTCAGCATACCAGGGTATTGTGCGTTTTGGAACCAAAGTATGCACACTAATTTCGACGGATGTTTGGTTTTTGCCAAGGAAGAAATTTATCAAAAGTGTGTCATTGTTGAACACAATAATGTAAAATGCCTCAAAGTATCTGTAAGTAAGTGTAACGTTGATTGATTGATATCTTTGCCTTATATCGATCTCCGTCAACAGACAAGGATGATTTTATAGCCAGTTTGAGTAATATCTTAAATCAAGCAACATCTACTGATCCTAAAAAAATATCGATATTTGCAGGTGATATCAATCTCAACTTATTGGATAATAATTGTACCAAGGTTGGTGACTATTTAACCATCATGAGTGGTCTCGGTTATACTAGTTTAATAAATGGCATAACAAGGCAAACTGAAAACACAGCAACCTGCATTGACCATTTTTTTGTCAAATGTAAAAATGAAAGCTATAGTGACATAACCCCTGTAATTTTAAAAAGAGACCTTACTGATCATTACCCCATTTTGCTGAACATGAAACTTCCAAATGAAGTTGGTACACCAGGAAGAAATAAACTCTACCGCAAACTAGATAATATTATGCTCTCAAAACTTATACCTAAAGCAGAATGGGATGATGTACTCAGTGATAACAATGCAGAAACTTGTACTAATAAATTTGTCAACTGCCTAACTAATATGATAGAAAGTTGCACCAAAGAATATACAATTTGTAACAGAAAAACTAGGTTAAAGCCTTGGATCACTGGTGGTCTTCTTAAATCCATTCGTAAAAGAGACCAACTAAAAAAGCAATGCACGCAACAACCAGGTAATCCGGAAATCCAAAATAACTATAAACGCTATCGCAATATTTTATCCAAATTAATAAACAAAACAAAATATCAATATTACAAAACAAAACTTAACAATAACAAAAGTGACCTAAAAAAAACCTGGAATATTATAAAAGAAGTCACCAATGACAAATTAAATGGAAATGAAATCAAAAGTATTCTCAATGAAAAAAATGAGACCATCAGGGAGCCAAGCCTAATAGCTGCCGAGTTCAATACATATTTTAGCAATGTGGGACCCAGATTAGCAAAAAAAATCAAACCACTGGGAAAAAATTTTAAAGTAAAATCAGAGACAAACATACAATCCTGTTATTTTGCTCCTGTCGTGGCTGATGAGTTGAAAACCCTTTTAAATTCATTAAAAAACAATGTGAAGAGTGGGCAAGACCAAATTACTTCTGAGATTCTGAAGCGACACCATGGGTATATTATTAACCCTTTGCTGCATATTGTAAACTGTATTTTGAATACTGGAGTTTTTCCAACAATTCTGAAGAAAGTGACGATTGTGCCAGTGTTCAAAAATGGGAACCATGAATTAACTTCCAACTATAGACCAATCGCTCTAATAAGCACAATTGGTAAACTAGTTGAAAAGTGCATAAAAAATAGGCTCCAATCATTTTTCGAAAAAAAAAACTTGCTTTCGCAAAACCAATATGCTTTCAAAAAAAACTCCAGTACCGAAAGTGCTTTGGCAAGGGTTACTGAGATGATTCTTGGAGGTCTGGATGAGGGAAAAAGAGTTGTGGGTATCTTCTTGGACCTGAAGAAGGCATTCGACACTGTGGCGCATCACATACTACTGCAGAGGCTTCACAAAATTGGAATTAGAGGAGTAGTATATAAACTTATAAAGTCATACTTAACAAACAGAACTCAAAGAGTCAAAATTGGAAATGTTATGAGTGAGCCTCTTGCGGTGGTTTGTGGTGTGCCACAGGGGACGGTTCTTGGCCCAATATTGTTTAGCATCTATATTGATGATGTTCTTTCGGTCCTTGATGAGGAGGGGACGGTGTTTTGCTTCGCAGACGATCGCGGCTCGATCACAGTCTTCTATCACTGAACGTTGAAAAGACAAAGTTCCTCACATTTGGCCATACCCCAAGAACCCTACCGACGATCCGGAGTCTCAAAATTCACAAGACTAACTGTCTCACTAATAATAAAATAAGTAGATGTGTATGTGATGATAGAATTGAAAGAGTTGAGTCTGTGAAGTATTTGGGTATATTTCTTGATGAAAAATTAAATTGGAAAACTCATACTGATTATGTCACAAAAAAAGTTAGGAAGCTTATACATAAATTTTATGAACTCAGAAATATTCTGCCTCCAAAAATGCTGAAAATGATATATTTCTCATTGGTTGAGTCCATATTGACTTATGGTATAGTAACTTGGGGCGGCGCAAACAAAACCACAACGTCCAGTCTTATTATTGCCCAAAAATACATAATTAAAATCATGATGTTTAAGGGTAAAAGATTCTCAACTGAACTTCTTTTTCAGGAGAGTAAATTGTTATCTGTAGAACAATTGTACACTAGGGCTGTGATAAGATTCATGTTAACCAATAGCTGCTACAGAAATAAATTATCAACTAACCACAATATTCGTAGTGCTGCAAATCAGAACTTGGCATTGTCCTTTGTCAGACTTTCTGCAACGCAGAGACATATCAGCTACACGGGTCCCACAGTGTACAATGCCCTCCCTGTTCTTATTAAAGGTGGACCATTTAAAAAAGTAAAGCATCTGGTCAATCAATGGATTATAGAGAGTAATTTTTCCTTGAATTTCTAATCTAAGTGTCATTGTAGTTTAGAACAGAAAGATCAATATAAGAAACTCTAATGCGTACCTAGTGATATAACCTTGAACATAATGTAAATTTATTTAAGAGAACTACCAGCACACACAGATTTTGAAAAATCCATCGTGTTGGTAAAACATTTTAGTGTAGTGGTAGAATATAGATTTAAATATAATAAAATCTTTAGATGTTTTCTGAAGATGGGAAAAAAAAGTACAACTGATAATCTTAAGAACAATATTGTTATTTATTATTGTGATTTACTATGCTAAATAAATAAATAAAAAAAAAAAAAAAAAAAAAAATGTACCAGCTCCCAGAACATTCCAAATCAATGCAAAATTTATTGGGCGTATTTGCTCATTATGGATTTCTAATTTTTCAGAGAAAATTAATAGTCTTGTTCAATCTTAAACTTTTCCTATAAATTTAGCAGTTGAAATAGCTTTCATCGCCATCAAAAATGATGTTCCAAATTAAGTTATAACAACCTAGATGAAAATATTCCATTCACAGTCGAAAATATACTGCGACTTTATCTCGAAAACAAGCTTTTCCAGAGTATACTTTTAGCTAGTGAGAAAAGATATTCAATATGAATGTACAAAATTGGAAAATCCTTAGATGGCGTTCGGAATTATTTTATTTTGGTTATATCTAGTTATATGACATAGTATACAGATCTGGATTCTAAAATAGCTCCAGAGCTCCAGATATGCGGAACATCGGCAAAATACCCATCTTTTAAATCCAAAATTTATCGTCGCCGAAAACCAGAAATTGTAGGTATTGATTCTACTTCTGGATATCTATAGAATTATCCAATTTTTCTATCATCAAAACCAAAAACCACTTAATTGTAGAGAGTCTTCATTTTCACATTATCATTTCAAAAAAAGTATCCAATCCACACGCGACATTAAGCCACCTTTAAAATAACATATAACCAATGTTTGTATACCATAATCTGTTTTACAGGTCGTAAACTGAATTTATTGCCGCACGATAAATTTCTAAATTATTGTTTCTGGATTGGGACAGATGTTGCTCTTGAAAATGACGATAAATGAGGGTCATTAACAAATAGTTTTGATAATTTGCAATGAAAAGCTAGTTGCAATATTTAGATTTAGAACTATAAACCAATAGGTATCCCCAAAGATCTGAGTTTGGGCCAATTTTGAAATTTAAATTTACTTATTGAACCTGCCTGATGGTTCGTTACAGATCATTACATGGACAATCGATTTTAACAGTCTTAAAATTGGCATCTGGCCCGATATAATTAATGCTTTTCAGTCTCTTGAAGTATGGAGTAGCAAATTGCTCATTTAGAAATTTTCGTGGACCTAATTAAATAGTTAAAAAACGGTAGCAAAAATCGGAAACAAAAAAGCTAAATGTCTCATAGAGCTTTGAAATTGCCCTTAAAATTCTCAACCGGAACCCACTGATCTCTTTTCATATAATAAATCACTTAAGTACCTTGTAACTCATAAACGAGGCTTATGTAGTTGTAAACCGTGTTCAATATTTATTTGAGAAAAGCCGAAATCTTGCCAACATATAAACATTATGTCAGCCCTCTATTACCATACTACTTAAACATATTTTATAACAGATTAGGTGATATAAAAAACGCTTGAATATTTACAAGGAAAAGCTATCCTTAAAAAGGTCCTAGAAAGCAGGTTTTTTTATCAGGGATATAAAGTTTCTTTCACTATTGTCAGTCTTAGGACCACAAAGACAAAAAATGCAATAAGGCATTTTTGCACTATTTTCATTTAACCTTACAATAACCTATTTGAAAACTAAAACGACTAGTTTTTTTCAAAATTAATATGTTTTTAATGATCTATAATTTAAAAGACATATTCCATGTTTCCAAAAACTCTCTTCCTGCTTTTCACACACACAGACCTCACACATACACATTTAAATATAATTTGCCTCAAAGTTCCCCCAGAAGCGGAACCGTCAGCTTCCAGGCGTTTCAAAAAGGGCACAGAGCCAAACGTTGACCTAATATTGACTTTAGTGGCTTCCGTTTTACCTCCCGTTCTGAATTTTTTTTTCTTTTTTTTTGTATATATTATCATGAGGCAAGTTTTTTCCTGTCAAATAAGCAATTTTTAATTCTGACACATTGGTTTTCAATAAAGCTAAAATGCCTATGGAAAGTAATGAAATTGAAGAAATTTAAAAATTAACAGTGTTGATAAGAGAGAGCGGTTGAGAATTCTTGAAAAGCTGATTAGAGAAGCAATTTAGGAATACTTCATTAATTTTATAGAAAGCCACACATTTTTGGTTTCAATAGATATGTCGGAAAATTGGAGAAAATCTACGTGGAAAAATAATCTATTATTACTGTTTTTCTAGGGTTTAGAGAGGAGCTTGCGAAATAATCATTAAAAATAGTATCACGAACTCCGCGAGTCCACTAAAACTCTGTTTATTGAGAACAACTTGTATTGAACTAATTAAATTTGCAAAACTTATCGCCTTTCCTTAACTTTACCAGTAATTCCCTTATATTTATCCTGACTGGAACTTACAAACTACATGCTTTATATAAGCGATCAATGAGATCGGAGATCCTAGAGCTTCCGCAAATTCTTGTTTATTCAATACACACAATAGAACGATTTCCTGGATATTTCCGCACCGGTCGTCGGTGGCGCACAGTCGTGTCGGCTTTTTCGTACAATGTTAAATCGTAGTACTTCCTGTGAAACCAGATCATCCCGTGATAAGCCTTTAATCTGACAAGATGTACTAGTTTCTCTTCTACATCTATAACTGCTCTCAGATCCATAATTATCCCATCTATCATGCTCCCTCTCCCTACTCATTAGCAGTACTTCTCTCTCAGAGTCGTTAGACCCATGTATCTGCAAATAGTTTCCCCTAGATCTATCTGGATTGTTATGGAGTTTACCAGAACGATGTTTGCTAATTTATTCCAGGTTACTACACACTCCATTCTCGCAAATTCCAGTATAAACGCGATAGAACTTTTTCCCGAAGAGCACTGTAGAAATCTGCTATCCGATTCTATTTCTTCTGGAGGAGGCGCACCTAAATTTCGTTACACTGCCCTCCTCTTACGATTGATCGTTCCGATCAACTTCACGACCATGATATTTCGTCAATCTGTCTAGATGTACAACTTTCATCTTACTCCTGGAGTTGCGCTGAACTCGATAAACCCAACCACCAAGCCAACACTGGGCTTGTACATAATGATCCTCTTGATTATTCTGTAGGGTCCTTCCCCTGCTGAAGACAATTTCGGCGACACTCCTTTCTTTTTTGCTGGATTATACAGCCACACTAAATCACCTTCTTGAAATCCGGCTGAATTGGCTTTCAAGTCGTATCTGGTCTTCATTCGGTTACTGGCCAGCCGAATATGCTCCCGAGATAAATCGTGCATTCCCAGAAGTCGTGCCCTTACTTCGTTGGTATAATCTCGATTTTTTTTTTTTTTTAGTTTTTCTTCAGGTATTCGAAAAACGATTCTAGCTGGACTTTCACTTGTTGACTCGCGCACAGCTGCTCTGTAAGCCATCAAAAATAGAGGCAAATGTTTGTCCCAATCTCGCTGGTTCTTTGCGTCCACTTTTATCAGGTGATCCTCTATGGTCTTATTAAATCGTTCCACTATGCTATCAGACTGTGGATGTAAAGGTATTGTCCTTGTCTTACGAATACCCTGCTTGATCTCATAAATTTTCTTAAAGATGGCAGATTCGAAGTTTCGTCCCTGATCTGAATGCAACTCTAGTGGCACACCATGATGACTGAAAACTTCGTCCACTAGCACCTGGACAATAGTGATGGCTTGTTGATTGGGAATAGCGAAAACTTCTGGCCATTTACTGAAGTACCTAATCCCTGATAACCAAGAGCTATTTGTTACCACGCTCTGACTCAGGAAATGGTCCGGCAACGTTTTAACGTCTTCATGTAAAAACGTTCCCGAATTTTGTCCAAAGTCTTGTTAACTCCAAAATATGCCCCTGAAGTTCCGTCATGTATTTCCTTTAATACATCTTCTACTCGATCTTTTGGAATAACCAGTTGGCTCTTAGTGGATTTCCCATCGGTACTTTCCCAAACTCTTTCAAGTAAACCTTTTTCTACGGCCAGAGATTTCCACTGAGCCCGCAACGCCTTGTGAATCAAGCTCTTGTCTCCATTCTGGCCTACATTCATCATTTTCTGTAAGATGTAGAATTTGCCCGATGTTCTGGTCTGCTTCTTGATCTGCTCTCATTTGTTTGGTAATCAATTTATGATCGACGATAAGACGATAAGATAAGAAGTTTTTCTCATGCGTATCGATTATTTGACAACGCTTGCAGTCTTCTTAACATGGCCGTCTAGATAGAGCGTCAGCATTATCATGCAGGTTTCTAGGTGGATGTTTAATTTGGAAATCGTATTGCTGCAATTTCTTAATCCATTTAGCAAGCTGTCCTTCAGGAGTTTTCATTTCTAAAAGCCATTTTAGAGCTGCGTGATCCGTTCGAATTAAAAACTCACGTCCGTAGAGATACTTATGGAAATGGTTAACTGCTTTTACTATGGCAAGCAACTCTCTTCTGGTGACAGAATAATTTCTTTCCGGCTTTGATAAGGTTCTGCTATAGTACTCTACGACATGCTCTTTTAAATTTTGGATTTGTGAAAGGACAGTTCCAATACTGCGGTGCTGCTTACATCTGTGTCCAAAATCAACATGCCTTTCTGATCAGGATAGGCCAACACTGGGCTTGTACATAATGCTCCTTTTAATTGAATGTTGATTTCTCTTCCGTTAATTGATGAAGCGGAGCAGCTGTATTGGCAAATCCTTCCACAAATCTTCGATAATAAGAACATAATCTTAGAAAACGGCCAATCCCTGACCGCATCTATCTTTCCTACCATAATTTGTATACCATCTTCAGATACCACGCGACTTAAGAATTCCACTTTCTTTTGAAATAAATAGTAGAAAACACCTATTTGGATTGAGTTTTAATTTGGCATTCCGGAAGCGGTCAAAAACTTCTTTCACGTTATTGAGATGTTCTTGGAACGCATTTCCCATGATCATGACATCATCGGAATATACCAGACGAGTACTCCATGTAAGGCCCCGCAAAACAAGATGCATCAGTCACTCGAACGTAGCTAGAGCATTACACAATCCGAAAGGCATTACTTTAAACTGGTATAACCATCTTCCGGTACTGAAGGCAGTTTTCTCTTTGTTGCCACTTGCCAGTATCCACTCAAAAATCTAGAACAAACGGGATAGCCCTTTTTCCCGAATAGCACTATAAAATCTAGAATCAGCTATCCAATTCTGTACACCCTGGAGCTTCCGCCAGATTATCGAATGTAATACCACAAGAGGATTCAGGATTACCGGATAATACTTTTACCTGTCACGAAACGCGTTATGCAGCAACACCACGACTCCGAAGGAGGAGTGGTGTTACTGGTAACGCGTTGAGTGTCAGATAAAAGTATTAGGTAATCCTGAAACATCCAGTGGTATTCAAAGGGTTATACAACGAACGAAACTTTAATACCAAAATTTAGAAAATTTTCTATAATAGAATTTGCTATAAATGCCACCATGCGCTATAATCCCAAAAGGCTTATCACTTATTAAGCCTCTCGTGTCATATAGGAATAATGTACAGTGAGTTGTATAATCGCGACAATACTATAGCTACCTCTGAGAGTCCTTAGTTCCACGTATCTGGAAATAATTTCCCCTAGATCTATCTAGATTGTTATGCAGTTTACCAGAACCAGGGTTGCAATTTTGACCAGACGGCGGATATAGGTTTCAAATTTTTGTAAACTATCCACAGTTTTTGGTTATCATGTCATTAGCTACACTTGGTAAAACTGGCCGTCGGTGTTGATCTCATTGATCTCCATAATGACGCTCTTCCTCTGACTGCATGAGGAAAGTTACAACTTCCTGACGAACTTTCGTAGTTCTATTACATTCTTGAATTAATTTCTTTCGAGGATTTTCTCGAGTCTTCAAAGATTACGTTTTGAATTTCTTCTCGCTAGTCTACTTCTCAGGGCCGAATTTATAGTCGTTCCTTAAGGCTTCCTTGGCGGTCGTGAGTCGTGATTTTAGAATGGACACTTACTACTATTCCACAAGTTATTTATGTCAATTCTAAATGTTCAAGGCTTTCTTAAGGTCTGAGTAAACTTCAAGGAGCGACTATAAATTCGGCCCTTAGTGTTTTTCTTTCTGTTTTCGGGATTTCTCTTCTTTTTTTTTATCTATCTTCGTTCTTCATCTTCGTGTATCTTCTCGTTTTTATTTTTCATAAAGTCCACCAACATTTGATTATCTTGTTTCATTTCTACTGTTTGTTGTCGTGTATTAACTATAAAATTTTCTGTATCTTGTTCGAAAGTTCTAGATAAATCACTCTGATGGCTTGATTTTCGATTTCAAAACCAGTAATAGAACCACTATGTCCGTCGAATGTCTAATAAGACTTCACTGATTGTTTTCACTAAACTCTCAAATATTACAACAATTGTCTGAAGGACAAACCCTCTGTTAGTTCATTCAAAAAGGCTGTCAAACAAAATTATATGGATAGGAGATATATTTAATTTTATTGAGAATTTAATTTGAACATATAATAATTCTTGTTATTAGTTTATTTGTTAGATGCTCGCTTGGCCATCATACTATACTTTTTTACTAATTACTTAATCATTTCTACTTAATGAAATACTTAGATTTAAGACTAGTTTGTTAAATCCTATATATTAATATTGCGGTTAGATGGAGTAGCATTATGCTAAATCTCGCTGCATTTTTGTGGATGTTTTGTACTTATTCTTCATTTCTGAATAAAGACATCCATTATTATTATTATTATGATTATTGCCATACTACACTGTAATTTTCTTTGACAGGGCTTCCATTTACCAAAAACAAACCATGTCTCTTAGGTTAAATGGGTTTTTAATTCCAGCCTATTGTCCTTCTTATTATGTAAGCTATCCCAAGCAATGGAGTTTTTTGTATGGAGTCCATCAAAGCTTGTGTGTTGTTCCCTGGTATTCTTGTTAGCCATTCTTTAAGGTTTTTATTTATTGTTCCCATGGCACCAATCACAACTGGAATTATTGTTGTTTTAAGATCCCACATTCTTCGGGTTTGTATCTGCAAATCTCTAGTATCTTTCCAGCATCCTTTTCCTTGATATTTCTGCCTAGGGGATTGCTACATCTATTATTAAGCACCTTCTGTTCTCCTTGTCCTTTATAATTATGTCTGGCTTGTTGGCAGCTAGGTATTGTTCTATCCGTTTGTACCTGAGTGTCCCAAATCACTGTTACGTTTTTTGTCAGTTCTACGTTTTTGGGTTTGTGTTTGAACCATTTGTCTTCAACTTCTATGTTATAGTATTTGCAGATGTTATAATGAAGCGTTGAACATACTTTGTTTTGTCTTTTTATGTATTCGTATTTCGCAAGTACTGTTGTCATGTGTTTGATAGTCTCATCATATTCTTTGCATAATCTGCACTTAGGGTCTAATTTTTGTCGGTGTATTTGATGCTTGATATAGATTATTGATATTGCTTGGTCTTGTGATGCTACAATGATTGATTCTGTTTCCTCTTTTGGAGTTCCATTACGAAGCCATCTGAGTGTCCTTTCTCTATCTACCTGTTCTGTGTTAGTTTCTCTGTTGTACTGGCCATGCATCTGCTTTTGTGTCCATTTTCCTTCCGTATCTTTATTTATATTTTCTTTACATAGGTGCTTTAGCTTTTTCGCGATTCCTGTAATTTCTGTGTTTATGCACTTATCTTGGCTTTCTTTTCCGAAATATTGCTCTCTCCATTTTTTCCCTATTTTAAAAGTGACTTTCCTGTTTTGTCTTTTTCGTATTGTTTTACATATTGATGAATCTGGCTTCTACTTTCTCACTTACGTAACTTGCCAAGCCAATGATGGTTAATTTGAACGTTTTCTCAATATTTACTCTAACCTCCTGCCTCCGTTGGCTCTTCGGACATATAATCTATCAATATCTGCTTTTGGATGGAGTAGGTTGTACATTGTTAGAAGTTTTCGTGTTTTTGTATCGGCTTTCCTCAGTTCTTCTTCCTTCCAATGGAAGATTCCAAAACTGTGAGTCATTATTATTATTATTATTATTATTATTAATTGTCTTTCTAATTATCCCACTACTTAGCTCAAACTAGTTCTCCACTAGTTTTCTTGCCATTTATATCACTATGTAGCTCAAACTAATCCACTAATTACCCACTAAATCTCAACTACGTTATTGAACCAATTTATTCTAAACATTTCACCAATTACTTATCATTTTTACTTAGTTTCAGACAAGAATTATCCTAAAGTTGAATTAGGCACTAGCTGACGTTACACCCATAACCTCACTTTCGAGGGGGGGGGGACAAAAAAAGCATTTAGGGACTTTTACACAGTACCTACGCAAATAAATGTAAATATCGTTTGTCCCAATGACATGTTTGTCCCCCTATCGAAAGTGACGTTATGTGATTTGTGTCGGATAGCTAGCGCCTAATAGGGCATGTCCATGTGACGTCACAAATGAGTTTGACAGTCGCCCTGAGGTAAAACAAATCATTTATTTACATTCATGTAGATTAGGCCGGTTATGTTTTATGCGGTTTTCACAGCTTTTTTACAAGTTTTTGTGTTATTTTGTTTTAAAAAAGTTAAAGTGATGTGTTTATGTTCCAGTCTATTTGGTCTTTTATCCAGAAGTTTGCTAGCTTTTTCTATAATGGATAAATGCAGGTTTTTTCCAACGAATATCGAAACCAAGTGTCACAAGAACAAATATATAAGTATAGTTACTCTATATTCAATCTATTTTTCTGTCAGATCTTCTCTTTTAACAACATATTTCAATTTTTCTCTTCTTTTTTGAGCTAACAAATTAAACCTCCCATTGTTATTTAAAATTGATGGAAGGATATTGTGTCCTTTGCGCTATACTGCCACAATTCACAACTAAACAAACTCTAGGCATGTCCAAGAAACTTCTGGATCACACAAAAGGTATTTATTTAAAAAAATTTAACTAAAAACTTAAAAAAACACTAAATTATAACTTTGTTTTACCTCAAGGCGACTGTCAATAGTGTCAAACTGTCAGATCGTGTACTTGCCCTATCAATGTCGAAAGTAAGGTTATAGGCGGTTACACACGGGCGTGGATGGCTTAATATATAAAGTTTTTTTTTTTTTTAAAGATAATGACATTATGTTGGCAATACAATGTAAAATTGTCAATGCTTTCAATTTTTTTATGTAGAAAAGGCTTGTGCTGCCAACAAAGTTACTAAATTTTTGACTTGGGGAATTATCTTTAAAAAAAAAACAGACTTTACACATTGAAGTTTTTGTTTGCGCGTTCATGTATGTGCGTACATGTTTTCAGACATCCACGTCCGTGTGTAACCGCCTAAAGCCCGGGACACATCTGTCATGCATTCTACCGATCCGACTCCGACCATACAATCAGGGTCCTTATTCTTGGAACATGGAGCAACGTTCCCAGGAGAACGAGTGTTCCGCTGCTCCCCTGTTCCAAAAATAAGGACCTTGATTGTATGATCGGAGTCGGATCGGAAGTATGCATGATAGATGTGTCCCGGCTTTTATGTGTAATAATAATTGACCTTTTTAATTTGGAAGCCTCTCTCTCTGGCGTCAGACTGTCAGACGCCAAAAGAGTATGAAAACAATGATTGACAGCTATTGACAGTGGTTTGTTGACAAGAATTTTATACGTGTGAGACTGGAAACTATTATTTCCTCGGTTTTTTCAAGGTTTTTTCCTAACAATGGTGATTGTGTGTAGTGTGCCTTTTCGTGAAAATAATTTCTATTCACCGACAGACGTGTCCAGACCAGGGAATTGACCTTTTGTTTGGACGCCATATTGCGGTGCGCGAACATAGTTGCCAGAAGAAGAAAACAAAAATTACTAGCGGGCTGTCAACATTAAAAACAAAAGTAACTAAATGATTGATCCTCGCTATCCTTTTTGTTTGTTTACTTTCTCTCTCTGATTGATAAAAGTAAATAAGTAGATATTTTATTATTTCTATTCTGCCCAATACAAGCTAAAATTGATGGCTTTTCTTTTCAAAAACACTCATAATAGGCGGCAAATTTAAATTTTTATTTTAATTTATTCAGTAACTTTTGTTTTTAATGTTGACAGTACGCTTGTAACTTTTTTTTTCTACTTTTGGCAACTATGTTCGCGCACCGCAATATGGCGTCCAAACAAAAGGTCAATTGCTAAACATCCTATATACTTGACATTGACGAGCAAGCAAATGTTGGCGGGAATCTGAATGTTTTCATACTTTATCGTCCATCTCTTTTAATTGAAAACGTCAATTAATAATAAGGTACTTAATATAAGGTAATATACAGGGTGTTCCGAAATTAATGCACCAAATTTTTATGGCATATTCTACATCGAAAATAAGCCCTATTTACCTATATAAACATATGTCCGGAAACGCTTCCTTTCCGAGATACAGGGTGTTGAAATTCTAAGAAAAAAACTATTTTTTTAACATAATTCATACCACTTTGAAACTTTGTACACTGGTTCCAAGCAACCAAAGACATTCTCTGATGTGGAATATTTAATAAAAAAATTACCAGTGATGTCACAAAACTAATTTGAAACTTTAGGTCTTTAATGTTTAACATTTTTATCATAAGAATGGCAATTTCGCCATGCATCAAAATGTTTTTTTATTTTTTTACTTCAAAACAGTGCATCTTCCGGAAAAAAGTGAGGAGATCAAATTTGTTCTAAATTGAATGGGGATTTGAAAAATGATTTTTATTTTAGAAAAAAGCAGTGGCGCACCATTTTTTTCTTAAAAAATATTCCTTACAAATCTGGATGGACGCCAATGGCAATTTTTCAAAAAAAATAATTTCACATCAAAAAATGTCTTTTGCTGCTTGGAAACAGTGTACAAAATTCCAATGAAATATCTAGAGTGGTTTGAAAATTATGATAGAAAAATAGTTTTTTGCTTAGAATTTTAACACCCTGTATCTGGGAAAGGAAGCGTTTCCGGACATATGTTTATAGAGGTAACTGGGGCTTATTTTTGACGTAGAATATGCCATAACAATTTGGTGCATCAATTTCGGAACACCCTGTATAAGGTACGGTTTGTAAGAATAGTACGCGACGCACAACTGACAACGTAAACATCGTCATTGGTTCAGGTATGACGTACACCCGTTTTCTGACGTCAGAAAACTGAGCAGTGGACTCAGGCTTCCCGTGCCAATCCTTGACGCGTTTCGTCTCTTGTTAGGACTCATCAGAAGAACATAGGCTGAAGCTCCCTGTCCAAGCAAAACTGAACTTCGTTGATCATAAATTATTATTACAATCACCATGTCAAAATTTTGAAATACCATTAACCAATTTTATTCACAAATAGGTTAATGATGCCATAAAATATTTTATAATGTATTGAAATTCTCAAAGATAAATTATTTTTAAACGTGATTTTCTTGGAAACTGTTGAAGATAGGTTTAGAATATCTAATATATAAAAATCAACGTTTGTTTGTTTGCTTGTTCGTTGTTTATGGACTCGGAAACCGCTGAATCGATCTCCTTGAAATTTATACCACGTAGGTATAGTCTCTACATGAAAAGGAGTGTTATAGGGTACTTTTTATTCCGGAAAAATGAACAATTCCTGTGGGATAGATCTGAAGCGTAAAGCTTAGGTTAGTTTGAGATAGTTTAAAACAATTGTTTTCAGGGAGCCGTAGCAACGCACCTAGGGTACAGCTAGCATTACATAAATAATGTGCTTGGAATTTTCCATAGAATCAAAAAGTGCCGATTACCGCAGATTACAGTTTCTTTAAAATTTTATAGTAAAATTGATAAAAAAGATTTAGAAATACATTGTTCTAAAATGAAAAGAAGAAAAAATTATTTATATAATTTCAGTGTGTGAAATTAGTAGAATATAACAGTAATAGAAATATCAAGTTTGGTTGAGGTCGCGGGGGAAATATTAATTATTTGATGGTCCATAACTAACTCCACAAAGGCGTGCAAAATTCAAAAACTAGTGGGCAAAATTTTGCGAAATTAATAAAATATAACAATAAAAGAAATATTAAGTTTCGTTGAGGCGGGGGGGGGGGGGGGGGAATATTCATTATCTGATGGTCTATAGGTAACTTTCCTCATAAAGGTTAAAGGTGTGCAATAGTATATTACATGCAGAGATGGAAAGTGTTTCATTATTGTCGAGAGATACTATCAACCAATTCTCGAGACCATATACCTATGTGAAAAGTTTCCACCGTTCAAAATAAAATAGTATAAATATGTATACTATTTTATTTTGAACCATTAATTATTAAAAAAAAAAAAAAAATATATGATAAAAATGGAATTTCGACTAACACTCTGACACCGCATTGACATCTTATGAAATTTCAACAATATAAACACATGTGACATCTACTTCTAAATACAAACATTGCACCTGGATTTGTGTTTAGGAGTGAAAGAACAATTTAGCAGGCCGAACGTGAGTTCTCCAGGCCGAAAGTGACAGGAGAACTGTCACTTTCGGCCTGATGCATAGTAAACAAAAGTAAAGTGACATTTTCGAACCTTCAAACCAGTGAGAAATGTGATAATTATATGTATGGTTTAAAATAAAATCTAAAAATTAGTGCGCAGAATTTTAGAATTGGCGTGCAAAAATTGTATAAAATTAGTAGAATATAACAGTAAAAAAAAAATTATGTTTGGTTGAAGTGGAGAAGAAGAAATTAATTTTTTGATAATCTACGTGTAACTTTCTTCACAAAGGTATGCAAAATTTAATAAGTGTAAAAATTATATAGATGTCGTAGGCATAATGCAAATTTAGGCTTTTCCTAAAATGCCTAGGCATTTTACAAAAAGCCGGCAAAACGCAAGCATAAAATGAATTTTTCGTTATGCCGACAACAATTCAGGCAAACTGATAAAATGCCGGCAAAAC